CAGCTCTGTTTCCAGCTCCTCCAATTGGAAGCCAGGCAGCTCAATGTGAGGCTGGGGCTCCAGGAAGGTCAAGACCCCTAGCAGGCTGGAGTAGTGCTATCACTGGTGACTATGTGGTGATGTTTATTCCTACCATGTAGGAGAGCTGAGTTCAAATCCCAGCTGGGGTGAGTGAGCTAACAAGAAGTAAAACTTCTTGCAGTGGAAAGGGGCCACTGTGTCCCCTCCAGGTACCTAGGCCCTATATTTCCTTGTCACTTGGTATTTTGTGCCTTTTTGTATTTCACCAACCCATGTTGTTTGTTCTGCTGTCTGTGTTTTATATTTTGTTACAATCATTGACAAAAGACAGGGTTAAGTGTCTAAGCTTTGTTGAATCCTGCCCCCTTGGGGCATTGTAGTGTCCACTATACCCTCTGATTTATGCCTGTTACCTTCCCAGTATTAAGGTATATGGTTAAGTCCCCATTGGTGGTCTGGCTCTGCTCTATAGGGGGAGGAGAGTCCCTACACCTCCCACAGTGCTTATGCACCTGCTTTGATCCCTTCAATTGGAGAGGGGGTACCTCTTGGACTGCTGCCTGGGTTACACAAGTATTTTGAATTATTTGATTGTAGAAGGTAACATTGAGGCATTGATGCATCTTATCTAGACTATAGCTCTTCCCTTTTATTTTTTTTTTCCCTTGTCACAAGTATTTCACATAGATGCTGTGGTAAAGAGCGTGGTATGAAAGCAAAAAAAAAAATCAGCTGATCACGCAGCAGAAAAGTTAATTAAAATGTAAAAAGGTTATTACATCACACTTCTTGAACATTCTCTTGGTTAAGTACTAGTTTTTCTATCTTCTTGAGTTTGAGAACAAAGCTCAGTTCTTTTCTATAAAATTCAAGTACTCATCCTGAACAATTTTGAATTCTTAATTGTTTATCATTTAGTATTCTCCTGGCATAATGTTAACCTCATTTTCTCTGGCTTTTAATCTGGGTTATTGTAATAAGTGAAATATGATAGTTTATCAGAACTCTGTACACACATTTATTACTCACAATTTTAAGATTGATGTATATATGAATTTTCCAGCTATATACTATTTAGATGTCTGAGGAATTCCAGTAAGGAAGATTAAATATTCTTAACAGCTGTCATCCTGGCTTGGCCAGGACACTCCAGGTTTCCGTAGCTCATTCCCAGCAAGTTAGTTGAAATTCCTGGGCCGGAGCCTGGCAGGGAAGTGGAGACGCATGGTGCACTAGCCAGGCAGCTAGGCAAACACTGCTGCTTCCTACATAGGACCAAGGTGGGCAAACTGGAGCAAGCACCACCCTGCCCATATGTGGCATGTCTTTATGCCCACATAGGAGCAGCAGTGCCTACCCAGCCACCTGCCTGATGCATCATGCCACTCTGACTCCCCACTGCACTCCTGCCCAATCAACTGGCTGAGCTACAGAATCCAGCAGTGTCCCAGCCAAACCATGACATACTGTCACCTTGTCTATGACTGACCAGGTGATACTCCTCACCCACTTTTGTTCATGGCCACTTGGGGAAACAGTACAACTGTTTCTCTTCTATGTTTTAGCTTTAGGATGAGAAAATCTAGCCCCATTATTTAATGCATGAGCCAAGCTATTCTCTGTTTCTTTGATTACGTTTTTAATGAATCACTTAAGTTTTGTATTTGCTATCCTTATCTAACCTTATGTTACATTTTTAGGTAGAAGAAGAAGAACCTACTGGGTATATTCATTTAGAAAAATTTCTTCCAATGATGACTAAAGTATTAATGGAAAAAAGGTAATTGAAGCCAGGCCCGTATGTGGTATACCTTGTTTCAGGTTGATGGAGATGATTTTGTACATTATTATGCTCATGTCTGTTTTTTGTGGGGGAGGGGGGTTTGGCTTAAGTTTGATATTGGAAGGAAATTTAGCTTAAATCTAAAAGTAATTGTTCTACATCCCCCAAAACAACATCTGTAATATTTCATAGTTTACAATTACTGTGAATTATGATAGCATAATAGTTTTGTTTTATATAGTGTGAATCAGAATTAATTCCTCATCTAACTGATCATGTATATCTCTGGAGAGATTTTTGTATCAGAATAAAGACCTTTTATCTTTAGTTTTTTTGCATATATGAATTTCATTTACTGATAGGCACAGTGTGTTTCTACTAATATCATAAATCAGTTGCATATTTGTGTTAACAAAATAACTGCCATGTATAGTAAATGTACATGATTAGCTGTCTAAAAGGTTAGTAGATATAAGTCTGGAATAAGAAGACTGTATATTATTCAGAGGCACACAGTGGTCTTTGCGTTTACCCAGAGCCTGGATCTGTTTTAATTGATCTCTTATTATAAAATATTATTTTTAGTGAATTTTTTATTATTGAAATGCATTAGTGTCTTTTACTGAAAGCTTAAAAAAACCGCATAGTCTTATGTGTAATGCTTCTAAGTTAGTTTGCATACAAATTTCCTATTGACTTAAGTAGCATTCATTTCTGCAGGTGAAATGACTGCACAGTTTGGTTAAACTGTCTTGTAGTGGATATATTTTTGTAGCGCACACAATTTGCAGGATAGAATTGTGTCTTAAGTGTCACGGCTATGATCTTAAACAATACCAAGCTGTTGTGTTTGGATCCCAGCATGGAGGACCTACATACTTCATGTTTTCTAGGTCTAAGTTGTCTCCAGCATTCTTTCTTTGGCCTCTCTCACCCTGGGCATCAAAACTTTCTCTATTACCCCTTCACGGAAGCCAACAATTTTAGGACCAACTTGAATTCCCAGTTAGCTTAGTAATGGCTTTTTCCAGGGCTTCAACTATGTAAGCATGCTGATTTTACAGTTGATCTCTCCAGGGGAACATTATATTTGAAGCATACAAAACAAAGGCTTTGCAAAGTTTTCTAATACACTTATGTGGCAAAAATCCACCTTGGTTTCTCCCCAAAAATCTC